TAACTTTTAATCAAAAAAGTTTATTGCACATCGGTTCCGTTATACACGTGACCATTGTGGTTTTTAAAAATATTTTGATTGTAAGAATAATAATTTTTGTAATAAAGTATTAAAAGTTTGAGAACATTAATCTTATCCTCATCGCAGTGTTGGGTAATAATTTATTTTATTTCGATGTCATATATTATAATATCGACGACTTTRGTTTCGGATATTGTATTATTATAATGTCGTGCTGAAACCGAATGCGTTAAATGGGACATTTTAATTGCACCGAAAATCATGCGAAATCATAATTATAATAATATACCAAACATTCCGCGATTATCTGCCGGACRTCTTTACACGATTTACGCTTACCTGATATAAATAATGACCCTCACGTTTAACGTATTACAACGAATTTCGAAACCTTTAACAATGTTTACACTTGAGTTTCCTAATTTTCACGGCAACTCAACCGAGACAAAACGCTATTGGAACTACAGCACGTGTCCAATTTAGGTAGGTATCCATTTCGGGAAGGAGCTTCAATGATAATTTTGCYGAGAATTCGTATATTGTTGATATAATATAAAATKCATACTAGAACTTACTAGCAATGGAAACATGATCCGCAAAAAGGTTTATTAAGAAATTACAGTAAATGATTTAAAGTTTGTTAATAAGTTATCGGTTTACAGTTGATTTACACGAACGTGAACATTTGATTTATCTGTTAAATCATGAGCACAACATCAGATTTGCACAAAATATTAGTATACTCCTTACAAAAGTGTTTAATCTTAATAATGTGTTCRGTAAAAAATTGCGTTACATCGGTTTTGAATTTACATCGTTCACTAAATATTTCTATGATGTGACTAAACCATTTAAAAATATAATGTTATATTTTAAAGTTAAATGTTTTCAATTTTATTTTTCTGTAAATTTATTTTGTTGTTTTTTTTTTTTTGTTGATAATGTTGATGAACCTCACTCGAAATTTGATTGAATTATTTCTTAGTTGATAAAATGTTCGTACTAAGGATTATTACAGTTCTTAAAAATAGTTTTACAAAAATACGAAGTAGCTAGACGTATAATATTAGAATCAGTATTTATTATACTCGGGTCATTTTTACATATGATTATTGTTTAAATATAAATATTAATTACTAAAATGTTCAGATCTTATAAGCATATTACTACATAGACCTTTTATAACCCAAAAAAAACTCATACACATTTTTAAATTTTTTCATATTTTTACAATCATCCACTAAATAATTTACTGTTCTCGTTTGAAATAAAATGTTATATCTATTAGAGAACACTTCTTAAGTAGATACATAAAAATCTCAAGGATATGWAAATATGGTCTTTAAGCACATTAATAATTCTAAAAATCGGACATTTAAATAACAACATTATTGAAGAGAAAAGGAGGTGAGCATGTTTGAAGAATCACTCTGCATAAGGTAATATTTTGTTAATCATGTATAACACTTATCATACGATTTGTTTATTTTATTTTCTCATATAATTAACAATCGATTTTATTATTATCAATTATAAAAACAATAAGGATAATGGTGGCCTCAAAAAATGCTTAGATATTAGGGAGGGATAAAGTGTTGCAATTTTAAACTAATATTTCGTAAAATAATGTAAAGATATTCTACTGTTGCAATAAAGTTTATCATTATTATTAACAYGACAATTATAGGAAGACTGTATTCCTCTTCATTTACATCATCAGCCAGTGAATAATTAGATGAACGTTAAAAACTATAAACAAACCAAAAAAATAACTTTATATTCCATCTCGCCATAAACCTTTTGACATATTATTTTTGTATGTTAAAAAAAATAAAAATATTTTTATTTCTTACACAATTGTTTCAAATGCGATAAAACAATAATATTATAAACACTTTCGTGCTATAATAGTTGTCACGTTTTGTCAGCGCTGTTTGTCACATAAACATTTAAAAGTAAAACTCATCGTCGTCGTTGTCGTCGTCTCTATGACTATTTCGCACGACTCGTGCAGTGCATTTGATAAATGTTAAAAACCACACGTTTAACTTAATTTCGAAACATTTAACACAATCAAAATTGTAATCGTCTTTACTCAACCGTTAACTCATTCACGTTCGTCGAGTTTGAATTAAAAAATCATAGTAATATATTGTACACGCATTAAAAACAGTTATAAAAAAAATGCGGGCGTATAATATATAATTTTTTTTTTTTGTTTTTAATGTACAACACTGCTGTGGATTGCCACAAAACGTTTTCTTACCAAACTGTTTATTTATTGCTAATGCGTTTTTTTACTTATTTTTTTCTATTGTTTGAATTGCCATAAATTTAACACCAAAATTACGGTTTTGATTGCAATGTAGTTACTCGACTAGTATTGCGTGGACCTTGAAAAACACAARTGTACGCAAATGTTAATAAATTAAAATTAAAATTTCCTGTTCAGGTAGGTACCTATGRTATAAGTCGCGAGATATTAATTATGATTTATTGGATCTTYTCAGACGTCTATGTGACTAATGAGCGTATTGCGTAATATAAATAATTATAGTCTGCACGTTTGACATGTCCGACGACGTTCACACAATATACCAAAAGTAAAAGCACCGACAGATCGTTGTCCAAAAATTTCAATTGAAAATGTTCAAAAACAATTATTTGCGTTTTTTTTTTTTTTTTTTGAAACATTATTTCGTTGCTGATAAGTTTTTCAAGTAACTAAAATACTGTGATCTAATTAAAAAAAAAAATCACGTCTGTCAATCAAACACGATACTAATAAAAGATCATTAGTACCTTCTACTAAGCGATTAGGGCAAAAACTTACGTCTTACCAACTATRGAATGTGAAATATTTTAATGGGCTTATGAAAAGATACTAAATATAATAATATATGATTACCATGGTTCATGACTGCCGACAATATTACGTACAATTAAAATATAATATCGTGTACATGTTTATGACAAGTCATGTACATTTCAATTTGTCTCTTGTTGGAACGTCTTTAGTTTAATTGATTAATTTGTTTTCATTCTGTACGTGCTGTGTTTCTAGACAACAAGTTTGACATATTATTATTCTTTATTCAAATTTCAAATATGCAAATACAGTTTAGGTATCACACCATCCGCAGAGAAAATAAATTTTAAATTATACAAATATTTTAATTCGTGAATTTTTTTTAAATACATAATTATCATACATATTATACTATATACTGCAGTAGAGTATTAAGTTATTTACATAAAATTTTATTTAAAATAAAACGCTAAGCCGTATCATAGCCATAATAGCAGGTAAAGTGTTTCGTTTGTGAAAAATAATAATTTATTGTTTTTGAGCGTTTGAAAATKTCATGATTACAACACTATAATACATCAGCATGATAAAATGTATTATTTTTATCTAAATTATGATAAATTTAAATTTGATAAATAAATAATCAGTAAAAAATTTTAAATACCTGACAAAAATATTAAACTGTTTATCATGTACTGTTGTATAGGTCTTGTAGTAATAATATTGTTTTTATTATCTTGCCCATCATAATATTATAATGGGTGGCTTGGTGAGGCACGGTCGTGAACTTAATCTGCAGAAACGCATTGAGCGTACGTACGGATCCGTACTAACTAGTTGCTAGCTATCGGATGGGTGACCACCCGGGAATTTTAGCAACACATCCTTGTCACACATACATGAATATACGTGTTACAACCTACCAACTTAAAAACCTACAAACAAATACACAAAAATAACCCTTACCGTACCCAATCGGCTGTGTTGCGGTACTTCCCACTAATATTTGGTAATAATAATAAAAAATATATAGGTAGGTATATAATGTGTAATTTTTGTACTTATAAAGTCAAAATTAATTTTAATAATTATTCTTGGATTAGTGACAAATTATTATCGGACACTTTATCTCCATCATCGTAGTTGGTTGTCCAATATTATAACATTATATGTTTAACTGCGGTTTATCCCAAACTCCAATATAAAAATAATAGGTATGTTATAATACAGTACCGTTTTATTTTAATAAACATAACAAACATGAAACAATACAAGCCATACATTTGCATAAAAATTATAAATATTGTAACTTACTTTTGAATACTTCAATAAGAAAATCTGGACCTTTTAATTCGTTTAAAATATTTAAAACAAAATCGTCAGACATTTCTGCACATTAAATATCAGTTTCTGTAATTAGGTATTCGATATTTGTTTTTCAACCATTTGATGTTGTTAAATTTGAGGTAACATTTAATATAGTTGAAATAATTACTATAAAATAAGTCGGTGCAGCAATATTTTTTTAACTAATTGATTTTAGTACTCACAATACTTAATACATTGTTTGTTACAACTAAATAAATAATTACGCCCAGACAAAATAATCCAACTATTTACTATACTTAACCAAATTTTTTTTCCGCGTGGACCTCGCATTTTCTTATATATTGTAGACAACGTGTGCTGCGTTTAATCTCCAACCTCGGGATTGTGCTCCCGTGCGAATAATTTCGTAAAATCGATCTATAACGCAATCATCGGTGTAGGCGGCGGCGGTGTGCTATGAAACACGACGGAACGTAACGGAAATAAATTACACCTATATAATATAATTATTATTATTACAAACTAGAGGTGAAATGTAAACACACGCTAGAAAAACGTTCGAAAATAAAATCGAAAACGATCGAATAACACTCGCCGATCGCCTTAACCCATTACCGGGTAAACGGCGAAAACCGCGCGTTTTTCCGGCGACTTTAACGCCGCTGCTGCAGTCGTTGTCATCGTCGCCAGAGACGACCGGTCGGTGGTAAGGACGGCGGCGGCGGCGAGAGCACACGTTCGCCCGGCGAAATGAACGGACCGCGACGACGTCGACGGCGGAGGTTTAATTTCTTGTGCAGTCACCATTTAGACATTACCCGCGCGTGTACACTCGCCGCCACACACATACACAAGTCCGCCGCCCGTCCCGTCCGAACGGAAATTCTYTCACGCGAAATCACAATCATATTATAACAACATCGTAACAATATTTTTGATATAATATCATATTATCAAACTGCATTTTTATACACGCTTGCACCGGGACAGAACCGATTTTCGCCCCGAAGAAGGACGACGATCCTCCGCCGCTGCCGCTGCAGGGCCCAAGTGCGGCGCCACCAGCCGTCGAATATTATACACAGGTAAAGACATTTTTGGGAATTATTATTTTTTAATTTCTCATCGGCGACGCATTCGCCGTCTCAGAACACGTTCGAACACGGGTTTTGGATTTAAAATTTTTTCTCGCCTTTCTACCTTTGTTTTTTTTTTTATTTTTGTGGACACAATTTTAAACTTTTTTAGTCATTTTCAACTACAAAACATAATTTTATCATGATTTAATTATCCTTCTTTTATTTTTTTTATGAATTTTGGTCATGTTATTTTAATAATAATAAAATGGCTATAATATTTACAATGATACCTGCCTATTGTACGCCCGAGACTTGAACGATAGTCCACAAAGCTTGTGATGGTTTTTATTGCGGAAACGTCACAA